TCGAAGCTCAGACTCTGGCACAGGATTGGGAGCACTGGAAGCACTGTCTGACGCATCTGTGTCCGCTACCCGAAAGGAGAAGCGGCGATGGAAGATGAAGATGAAGAAGAAGATAAGAGTCATGTCTGCTTTTGTCGATATTTTATGAAAAGAAAAGCTTTCGAGGCTCTTTGCTTAGCGCTACTTCGTAGGGAGCTGAAGAAGCAGAAATGCTTTGAGAACCTTGGTAGCGTTTCACTAGAGAAAATTGCCTAATGGTCAGTCAGTCTTTAGACACGGAGAACGTTCATGAAGATTTACGTGTTCGAACTGGCATACGTGTTTTCTCATGAGGACGAGGATCACGTTTATTCGTTATTACGTTCTTCTTTTGCCGTCTGCACATTGTGCTGATTTTTAGTCAGCTTTCGGGTGAGTCAAGATGACTTTCAGCCAGGAAGTTCACGCACCCGACAGCGTGACTGAATGCCTTGCACTTTCTGCGATAATAACATCAGAACACTCAAAACACCATGTTACCCATGCTATCTGCAGTTTACAGGTTTCTCGCTGGTAATATTGAAGCACAGAGTGGCGAATTCCTTACCCAAGGAAACTGCGAGTTAAAAGTGTAATTTTTACCTCAAGCTTCGAGCTTGAACTCTGAATCTTTAAAGTGCAAAGCAAAATATTGAAAAGCTGCGTCACTATCCCCTCCTAACTTTAGAGGAATACCGTAGAAATAACAGAAGCGGTCGACTTTCATAACTTAAACTACGAGTCTTGACGAAGTAACCCGTCATTGCGTTGTAATCTGTTTCTATTGTAAAGTGCTGTGTAAAGATCCTACGTGGTGATAGCAATTGATACAGTCTAAGTGAATAAATGATTAGGAAGTAAGTAAATCAATGATAAGGTAATGTCAAACTTATTTGGGCTTGAACATGCCGTTGTTCAACTCAACTCAGAGACAAGGTCAAGCTTCATATGCACTGCAGGAGCATAAATGCCATGGAACCGTGGCCTGCGTAAAAGAACCCACCTCACCCCTCCCCCCGCGCCTAGGGGACTAAAAGCAAGGGGACGGTACATCATTGCGGCACAATCTGGTGTAATCATTTCCGTCTGTCTTAGACTACCGCAGCATCAGTGAAAAGTAAGAAAAAAATGTCTTTCTTTACACGGTACCTACGTCCTCGCCGTGTAAATCCGAATTAATATTTGAAATGTGAATAAATGATTCTTCGTGTGAAACCGAAAGAATCCGGGCAGTGGCCACTGTCGAATCCCCAACCCGTTCAGGTAATTCTGATCTTCGGTTGAAAGTATGCGATTCTACATCGAATACAACCAGGCGTTGATGGACGCGCAACGTCGTCCGACAAAATTATTGAAACTTTTAAACCTTTAATTAATTTAGTATTCTTTGTGTAACACGGGAGCATCAATTATACCTGCGGCTTCTTGTTTTGAGACCAGCCTACCGTATCCCTGACCAGGTTTCGTGTCATTACCTACATCACGGTCACAAAAACTGTTTCAACTTAAAACTGCATGAGTCGCGCTGAACAGCATTTGTTCTGATTTAATTAATCACATGCAAAATACGTTCTGGCAGTGCTTCAAAAGGTTTCCGTTTGGCGATACGTCAGGACTTGGACGTGAACAGTTTCGGCTGCGTTCACCTCCTTCCCACTAACAAACGGGTACATCGGCCAGGAACCAATACGGTCGCTTCGCATGTCCAAATGACCAGTCTGATATCGGAAGCCATAACTGTCAAGCGCAAGTGCGCATACGTAACTTCGGGAGGATAAGAGAAGATCGATTTTCGTGTTGGCTGTCTGTTGTCGTAAACAACAATTCGATTGATCAACTTGGAGAAAACAAGAAGTCGCCACGACTTGCCGAGGAAAAAATCTAGAACGCACGTTTTAATTAAGTGTAAAATTGCACGGATCAATAAAGCAGTTAGTTATGCGTTTGGTAACGGTTATGGA